TTTTCACGTGAATTATACCTATCTATAACCGCAGGTAAATTATACCTATCTATAACCGCAGTTCAAAATATACGAACTTCATATATTCATCGTATCTGAAGTTTACCTCTATTTGGTAGCACCTCGACGTGCGTGACTCTGACAGTCAAATCATTTGACAGCTGGACCTTGACCACACCTAACTTCACCTTTATCTTCAGTGATGCTACAATCTGGCGAAGCAAAGACAAGTCAAGTTTTGTACTACGTCGATAACTTGGATTTCTTCAAGAGCAACAAGTGATCTCTGGCGAAAATTTTACGAAGAATCCAGTTCATCTATGGTTGGAGAGCGACGTTTACAGAAAATTGACATAAAACAAAACAACATGGTGAAAAAACTGAAAACGATGGGAGGGCGAAACTGGAAGGTAACGCAAAAAAATAAATTTTTGTCTGGTTTATTTTTTCAAAGAGGATCCTGCCTACCACGCCAAATCTTGCGAGTGCTAATCTAAAGGAAAAAAAGGACTGTTTGTTTACCATCTGTAGTGAAATTTAATTTTAATAGCGAACAATTTTACATTACCTCTTCCTATTACGTTACTCCCTTTTTCCTCACCCCACTCCACCCCACCCCACCCCACTTTCACCCTCTGATCATAATTGCGAACAAAAATCATGCCATGGAGGTAATTTTGGATCGAATGGAACCACCAGCACTGAAATGCATGTGCCATACGACCACCCCGAAAGCACAGATACCCGCTTGTTAAGAGGGACTGCTGCTAACCACATAACCTAGTCTGATTACCACATCATTTCACAACGGTGGCGAGGTTATCATACAAGGGCAATAACTATCTTTGTACACCATAGTTTATCCATGACCACGTGATGAAATTAAGCGGCAAACTGTTGCAATCCGATCGAAAAATGAATCTTAAGAAGGTTGTGCTACAATTACATCGATTTGTGCACTAGGTGGTCCTAGACATTTGTAAGCTTAATATTGCAGTTGAAATAGATGAAGGAAATGAACGGTTTTACCTTTTTTTAAATTACCGCCATTTTAATAAACGTATACTGTTGCTATGGATACACAGGTGAAGTTGTCTCATGCATAGACGTTACTTGGCTCTGTGGTTCGCATCTGTATTCATTCTTCTAAGGTTGTTTGCCAGTAAGCCTCGATCCAAATTTTCTTGCACGCTTCCTCCTCCTATATCGGAGGTGGAATACTGAAATTACAAACAACGCTTACCTCCTCTGTTGGCTTGCTAGTGTTGGTCTCAGCTGGTACTATAGACACATCACTCTTTGTCGGCAGCCCACGTAACACAAAAACTTCGAGGCGCTCGGGTTCAACATCCAGCAACTAAAAAAGACAACAGACGATAACACGATTAAGAAAAATCATTCATTCATGATCGTGTTTCGTTTGAAGATTACAATAAAGAAGCAAACATAACCTCTCTATGGTTACGTGCTCTCTTCTGTGGGGAAATTTCTCAAAAGAGAAAAGAAATAAGAATGCACCCGAATAAAAACCTGGCAGTCAGAATTTTACGATCCCGACCCTTCAAAAACATACTTTTGAAAGGGGTGGATAATTCCCGGGGGGGAGGGAGAAGAAGGCTGCGTGGTGGATGAAAATCCCCATCCCTCACTGTAAAAAATGAGTGTATCTGTAAAACAACAACAAGGAGTAGATGTGAGCCGAAAGTGAGTTATTTTGGATCGCCTTTTTTACGCTGTTAATATTTTGTATTGTAGAGGATTTTATGGAAATTATTGCTAAAATGATAATGATAATAATAAAAATAATAGCTAAAATAATACTGATAATAATCAAAATCAAAGTAATAATACTAAAAGACCCTTAGATTCCCCTACATGAAAATTAAAAGCCTGTTTGAGATTTCTCTCCCCCCCCCCCTCCTCCAAAATGGTTGGGGAGTGTCTTTACGGAGTATTACCTTAGAAATAGCGGCTTTCAGCTTGTTGGCGAAAAAATTTCTCCATTTCCATGTCCTATCATTGCTTTCATCCAGCACCAAGTCGAATAACAGACGCACAGTAAGAAGATCCTCTGAAATTTTTGGGAAAAGAAAAAAATAAACGAACAAGAACAGTAGCTCTTCCCAGAGACCTTTAACTTTTCCACTTGGACGCAGCACGAAAGACATTTTATTGGGAACTGAGCCCATACACGACATAAATAACAAGGGAGAAAATTACGTCGAGAAGCGAGGGCTTGCTGCGCATGTGCTACTCTAGTTTGAATAAAGAATAACAAGGGGTTTTCATGTTGTTCTCCGTACAATTGTGATGTGCAGATACTCAAAGAATACCGCCTAACACCTTGATCTGAGAACCTCAAGCAAAGCATGGCAGAACCTTGGGTAGACTGGGTTCTCGTTTGCCACACATTTTACCAGCTGTTCGAGTAAATGTTGCCGGCTATTTCACAAGAATATTAACTGGTTCAAATGTGAAAACCCAAGGCGTTCAATAATATTTGCTTGTCTTCTCCCAACCTCTCTTGTATACACACCTATCAAAACTTGACGCTTTAAAAAGGCACGCCTTGAAGAAATCCTGCTTAATTTGACTTTTTTCCAAACACTTGGGAAAAAAAAACTGCATGTCTTTTACACTTTGATTCATGTTGCAGTGAGAAAGGAAAGGTAAAAAAAATTATATTAGGTAACAACTGAGCGATTTAAACTAGTTTTCTTTCCAGAGAAGACTCCTAATAATATCGAACTTCTGTCAGAACATTGCAAACCACATTAAGATCATTCTTGAAATTGCCACCTTCAGAAAATTCTTGTCTAACACGGGGGGAGGGGGGGGGGGGGACATCGTTTAAGTGGGGGCCGCTGGATCACACATTGGAGGGAGGGAAAATACACCGCACACCCTTAGATTAGTATTCATATTCTTTACACTGTTCTCTTTACATTTCTTTCAGTAATGGAAAGGAGAATTTGTTTGATGATCAAGAGCTTCTTCGATTGGCGATCATTTCCTTTAGTTCTCACGACCTTTGCATTTGATTCAAGGTTGTTACTATGAGGAGAAATTAGACGTTAATCACTGTTATGAGTTAAGGGGTTGACTCACCATACACAGTTACAGTGGTACTGCCACCTTCTTGTCCTATATTGTTACTAGCAAGGACAGACACTTTATATGTGCCTGCTTTGGTGTATATGTGGTGCACCTCTCTATCCCAAGTCAACAAAGGAAGCCTTTTGTCTTTCTGGTCGAATGTCCACATGTAGTGTGTTACGCCAAAATTTGGATGTGATGTGTCCTTTTGAACCAACTTGGTGGTGGAGTGAAGAGTGAGGTTGAACCACGCCTCGGCGCCAACTACTACTGCATGAGGAGGTTCGATATCGACTTCTTCAATACGATCTACAGAGAGACAGAGAAAAGACAAAATAATTAACAACTATCCACCAAAGTGGAGGTGGTTAGTG